TGTCTGATTGGAGATTGATTATGTTCTGTTCCCATTTTTTAACGTTCCCTACCAAGTGCTGTCCTCAGGTGATCTATCATATAATATACGATCACACAGCATGGAAACAGACCTTGCGGTCCAATCAGTTCATGCTAATGAAAATCCCTAACTAAACTAGTCCCACCTGCCTGCGCTTGGCCCATTTCCAAACTTTTTTTATTCATGTACTTATCTAAATATCTTTTGAACGTTGTAACTGAACCCGCATCCACCACTTTCTCCGGCAATTCATTCCACACACAAAACACGCTGTGTAAAAAATATGCCTCTCACGTCTTCTATATATTTTTCTCCCCTTACCTTAAAGATATACCTCCTAGTCTTGAAATCCTCCACCTTAATAGTCTACAGCAGTACAAGGAAGTCTTTGTCTAATGGCAGAGTCATGGAACAATTTTCCATCGGTCCATCAGAAGGTTTGATGTGGAGGTGCTGGCGTTGGACTGGGATAGACAAGATTAGAAATCACACCAGGTTATAGTCCAACAGGTTTATTTGAAAACACAAGCTTTCGGAGCCTCACTGTTCTTTCAGGTGTTAGTGAGAGAGGTCAGTATCAGACACAGAATTTATAAGTAAAAGATCAAAGGTATGACCCTTTGTTCAAAGCCCTGCAGCCACCTCTGTATAACTTCCTGTGAACGAGAGCGAGCCTACGGGCATAAAGAGTACAGTCAAGTGGTCGAAACTAACACTAATCCCCGGAATAACAGGGCACACTATTAAAAATGTGACTGTGCAGTTGTGCCTAAAATTGGCAGAGCAATGAGCAAGTAATCAGCTGATGGAAACAGGTGATCATGACTGATGGAGAATTCTTGCTGCACAGCAGGGTTTTTCCAAAGGTTCATTTCTACAATGGAATGCCCCGAAATACCCAGTTGTAATTACTTAGCCATAAAGGCTACACGTGCAGCTGCTATATTTGCACATGACTGTATCGCACGGTTGTTGAGTTTTCTGTTGAGTTCTTTTCTAAATTGTTACAACAAGAGTGCCTCACTGTGTACCCTTCTGACTGAGCTCTGACAAACCCAGGCCTGTACAGTGGCCTGTGCTAATTCGGTGACCGTGTCACCATTTGGTTTGGCCACAAGGGCCTGGATTTTATAGCTGCAGACAGGGTGGACTATCCTACCTTTGCCAACTTAAGATAGAGCGTGTGGGTGATGGGCAGGCCACGTCACATCACACACTAGTTGTTCGAAACCGCAGAAGGTGATCCGGCACAGGAATCAGCAGTCCACCACCAACCCTACCTACCCCTCCTGGCATTTTGGAATTGTGAATCCTCCTCCCCAGGCAGTCCCTGGGGACCGAGGAAAGACTCTCTTCAACTCCTGAGGGTGACTACATCGTGAATTCCCCTACAGGTGGGGCACTTGGTGTTCGGTTTGGCTGGACATGATGGAGTCTGTTCATAATGCAGTCATAGAACCATACAGCACAGAAACAGACCCTTCAGTCCAACCAGGAACATAATCCCAAACTAAACTAGTCCTACCTGCCTGCTCCTGGCCCATATCCCTCCAAACCTTTCCTATTCATGTACTTATCCAAATGTCTTTTAAATGTTGCAATTGCACCAACATCCACCACTTCCTCAGGAAGTTCATTCTTCACATTAACCACCCTCCATGTAAAAAAATTTTCCCCTCATGTCTTTTCTAAATCTCTCACCTCTCACTTTAAAAAGTGCCCCCTCATCTTGAAATCCCCATCCTAGGGAAAAGACAACTACCATTAACTCTGTCTATACCGTTCATTATTTTATATTATTTTATAAACTTCTATAAGGTCACTTCTCAACCTCCTACACTCCAGTGGAAAAAGTCTCAGCCTATCCAGCCCTTCTTTATAACTCCAACATTCAATTCCCAGCAACATCCTGGTAAATCTCTTCTGAACCCTCTCCAGCTTGATAGTATCCTTCCTATAAGAGAGCGAGCAGAACAGGACACAGTGTTCCAGAACAGGCCTCACCAACTTTACTTGTAGGCCGCTCCATTGTTTCGGGTGCTGGATATGGCCAAGTCTGAGAGTGTTTGGTGTCAGTTCTGAAGTGGTAACAAACAACGAGGTGCAGCCCTCTACACCATGTCTGAGTGGAACAGCAGATTCTGCAGGTGAAGGTGGCAGTGTCTGGATGGATATTCTTTTTTTAATGTAGTCCGAGGACTTCTTTTTTGAGTCTTCAATAAAACAGAGTCATGGTGGAGAGAGCGGAGAAAGTTGTGATGGTACTGTTGGCCGCTAAAATTGTAGAGGTGACTGATTTTTTTGTCTGTGGAGTAACCCCCTCTGACGCATGGCATCCAGGCCTAGACTCCTGATTGGGCACTGAGACTGGCTTGGCAATGTGGGACCATCAGCTACCAGCCCAACAAAGCTACGCATTGGCTGTCAGACCCTTGGCTCTCTGAGCTAAGATGGCAGGTGGGAGGAAGGGAACCCTTCAGTTTCTGTTCCTCCTACCTTTGCCCCATCAAAAACCATTAAATCCAGCTCAGGTCAACACACATATTTGTTTCCAAGCTTTTTGTTGTCACCCACTTCTGGCTCTTTTGATGCTTTTAGCCTTCTATTTTCAGTAGCTTTCTAGGTTGGAATCTGCCCTCCCTCTGCCTGATCTTGTTTGTCAGCCTCATTCTTTATTCACTGTCTGTTATTTTCTCTCTACGTCCCAATATTTCTCAATGTTTGCTCACTTCTTACAGAAAAATGTTATCTTCTATATCTCCTAAAACTTGTGCCTTCAATAAGGGTGACCCACCCCATCCTACAAACCCTACCATTCAGATTACCACATGAAGTTGAAAGGGCGTGAGTGGTGGTCTATGAGAGCTGTTAATGGGAGAGGCCATTCATTGCAATGAAGAAAGCATTTCCTTCCTTTTCACAACGTCACAGCATGTCAAACAAAAAACCTGAAAGCTGCCTTAGGTTTTCAAACAATTTTAGGCTTTCAGTTGCTATATCAACCCTGCTACACTGGATACACATTTGCTCTGGACAACTGTACATTCTGTCATCTTAGAAATTTTTATACAAGACCCTAGCATGAAAAATAAATTGTACGTGAATTGCACTCCAGGAAATAACCGAATGCAATTTAAGAAAGACATTTTTAAATTCACTCATGGGATGTGGGTTTTACTGGCTTCTTCAGTATTTACTGCCTGTCCCTAGTTATCCCTTGAGATGAGGGGGTTGAGCTGCCTTCTTGAACCGCTGCATTCCATGTGCTGTAGGTTGACCCACATTGCTGTTAGGGAAGGAATTCCAGGATTTTGACCCAGTGACACTGAAGGGCCAGCAGTATATTTCCACGTCACAATGGGGAGGGGAACTTGCAGGGAGGGGGTGGTGTTCCCATGTAGATGGAAGTGGTCATGGGTTTGGAAGGTTCTGTCAAAGGAGCCTCTGTGAATTTCTGCAATGCCCGACAAATCAGAATCAGTCAGAGGTTGCAAGAACTACGGATGCTGGGGTCAGAGACAACGCAGTGTGGAGCTGGAGGAACACAGCAGGCCAGACAGCATCAGAGGAGCCGGAAGAATCCCAACCCGAAACGTCAACTTTCCTGCTCCTCTGATGCTGCCTGGCCTGTTGTGTTCCTCCAGCCCCACACTGTGTTAAGTCAGAATCAGTAAATTGTTTGGTGTTAACCAGAAGTGATATATCTTCCATAGGCTTTTAGTCTGTTAAGGAATGATTAACATTGCACCACAGTCTGTTCTTGGTGTGAAAAATCCACTTATTTGTACACTAGTAATTAACTAGTAATTAAAGCGATCGATAAAGAGCCGATGACAACATGAGGAAAGCCTCTCAATGCAGTGAGTAGGTTGGATTCGGGCAGCATTTACCTGTTGAGTTGTTGGCTTAGAGCATAACAATCTGAATGACCGATAAAATTGCAGGGATATGAGAATAGAGAACAGGTGTGGGATTAATTGGATTGCTCTTTGAAAGTGCCCAGCATGGAACGGATGGGCTGAATGACCTCATCTGCACCATTCCATTCCATAATGCTAAGGAGCATTGACCTAGCTAGAGGAGCAATGGGGGATTTCCCAATTCTCTAAGCTGGTATATTGTATTTTGATGGCTCATTGTGTTTTAACAGTAGCCCAAGGCTCACCTCAAGATCCCAAAAATGATTGCTCTCAGCAACTGACTTCTGGACTTCCTGAATCTCTACAAATCTTGACGGGGAGAATGTGCATAAATGGAAAATTGAATTGCATCAAATCCTCAGTGGCTCTGTCTGGAGATTCATAAACATGGAATTTGATTTCTGAGTGTATCAGACACTTTGTTAGCCACTAGACCTGCTTCAAAATTGAAATTGTAACAAACAAATCAGTGCAGAAACCATAGAAGCCATAGAAATGTTACAGGACAGAAAGAGGCCACTTGGCCCATTATGTCTGTGCCAACTGAATAAACTAGTCGCCCATTCAAATTTCACCTTTCAGCCCCCAGTCCATAGCTTTGGAGGTTGGAACACTTCAGGTGCAGATCCATGTTCCTTTTCGATCAGTTGGGGGTTTCCAGCTCAACCATCAAACTGGCCAGTGAGTTTGAGACAGCCACCATCCATTGGCTATACTTCACATCCCTTCTGAACCTTTTACTGATCACCTTAAACCTGTGTCTCTTGGTACTGATCCCTCTGCAAGGGGAAACCAGGTCCTCCCTGTCTACTTTATCCAAGCACCTCATTATTTTGCACCCTTCAATGAAGTCACCCCATAGCCTCCTCTTCAATGCAGAACAACAGCAGCCTCTCCAACTTTTGTGGGTCTTAAATTGTTGCCTTACAATTTAAACAGGGTGGTTACTTTCTGTTGAGAGGCCAAACCATTGTTTTCTGTTGATGACACGGGAGGAAAGTAGGTCACTGTTCTTTCAGCCAGTCCAGAGAAATAGGTGTGAAATTGCAGCTACACATCATGACTAACAATGAATTTTCCTCCCCACCAGAAAACAAAGCAACTGCAGAAGGTGAAACAGAAGGTTTGTTTGCACTGCACCAGAGAAGAGGAGCCATCAAGCAGGCCAAAGTTCATAATGTCAAGTGCCACGAGTTTATAGCGACATTCTTCCCACAGCCCACCTTCTGTTCTGTCTGCCATGAATTTGTTTGGTACTTCCCTTTAACTTATCTCTTTTTCGTATTTATCTTGTAATTTATGGGTTTATGTATTTCAGGTTTATGATCAGATGATCTAGGTTGCTCCATCTTTTATTCAGTGCTCCAAGGGAATTTCACTTCAAGGCTGTAACGCAGAGGGATTTTAGTTCCAGCTCTTTGTTCGTTCTAGCCCCTGTGTCACATAGCAAAGCAAATCTCTATACAAATCTGTCACCAAAGTAGTACAAGAGAAAATTTGGACAAAGCCCATTCCCATATATGTAATATAGACAGTATTGAATATTGCTCAATTCAAGGCAGTAACCTCACATGAAACATTTGTCCCCTAAATCTCTTGAAGGGATAGTTAGCTTTGTTCTCTGGGAGCTTTACATTGTTCATGTCAATGCTGACAAATGGGACTACATTGATTGAGGATATCTGGTCAGCACGGACGAGTTGGACTGAAGGGTGTGTTTCCATGCTGCACAGCTCTATGACTCTATATGCTAACTGATCCAGCCTCTCTTCATACGCAAGTCTTGCCAATTGTAGGAGTCAGTCTGGTACTGCTACAGTCCTTTTTTCTGTAGATAGACCCACAATGCTGTTAGGGAGGGAGTTCTAAGATTTTGACTCGGCGATAATGAAGGAATGGCAATATATTTCCAAGTGAGGATGGTAATTGACTTGGAGGGGAACTTGCAGGTGATGGTGTTCCCATGTATCTGCTGCCCTTTATACTATGCAGGAAGCAGTTCCATGACATCATTACCTGGTTACTCCAGGGTCCTAAAGCCCTTACACATCTCTGGCTGACTCCAGGCCCCAGCTGGAATGCTCCTCAGGTGAAGACACCCTATTATTGACCAGTTAAACCCAAGCAGTTACCCTACTCTCAGTTTGGGAGTTCCTGAGCCTTAGTTCTTGTCAGCCTGTGCCAAGCCCCAGTAGAAATGGAAAATTGAGTTTCTCCCTTTGAGAAGCATGTGCACGTTCCACACCAGAGACACAAGGAACTCGGTCTGAATAGAATGAAATACTTTGCATGCCAAAGATCTGAAATAAAAGCAGAAAATGCCGGAGAAACTCAGCAGGTCTGGAAGCGTCTGTGGAGGGAAAAACAGAGTTAATGTTTCGAGTTTCATATTACTCTTCTTTGGAACCTGTTCTGCTTCTCTCTCCACAGAAGCTACAATACCTGCTGAGTTTCTCCAGCCCTTTCTCTCTTATTTAAGAACTTTACCAATTTAGATTCCTCATTGCTTTGTGTTTGGTGACAGTTTTATTTTGTGCACGTTCAGACAATACCAAAAAAATGATGGATTGTTGAATTATGCTCATTCTCGTTTCTTTCAGGGGATTAAATAAACAAGGATACCAGTGCAGACGTATGTTCTTCTCCATTTCCCAACTAATTCAATCTAAAAATTTCAATACAGCTTGCTAGCTTTCAACACATTAAATCCTTCTTCTGCTTACCTTCCAGAGTGCAACGCTGCAATTCATAAGAAGTGCATTGATAAAATAATAGCCAAGTGTACAGGATCAGCAGTGAACAGCAGGGAAACCATTGTACGTATCACAGCCCCTGAACATGAAGAGTCTTTTCACATATGCTGTACAACAGAACTGAGAATCACAATGGCAGAGAGAATTTGTTTGCAGCTGGTTTTAAATTCTTAACCAGGGTTATTTCCAGAGAGCCACATCAGTGAAAACATATAAAGCCACCATAGTTCCCTCGGACTGCTCTCTGTCTAAAGAGAGATGACTGGTGGAGGTTTAACCTGAGGCACACCTGATACTAACTGAAATTTATGGCCAGAAGTGGCACTGTATAGATGTGGTGCTTTGTCACTGACTTGGGTGAAGGGAGATGTGGAGAAAGACAGTCCTTCTACGCAGCACGGTGGCTCAGTGGTTAGCACTGCTGCCTCACAGCAGTAGTATCCTGGGTTTGATTCCACCTTCAGGCAACTGTCTGTGTGGAGTTTGCACATTCTCCCCGTGTCTGCTTGGGTTTCCTCCGGGTGCTCCGGTTTCCTCCCACAGTCCAAAGATGCACAGGCTAGGTGGATTGGCCATGCTAAATTGCCTGTAGTGTCCAGGGATGGGCAGGCAAGGTGGGTGAGCCATGGGGAATGTGGTATTACAGAGTGGGTCTGGGTGGGATGCTGTTCGGAGGGTGGTGCATACTCAATGGGCTGAATGGCCTCTTTCTGCACTGTAGGGATTCTGTAACCTCAGCCAGTGCAGGAATTGAACCCATGTTGTTAACATCACACACATCACAAACCAGCTGTCCGACTTTACCAGCCCCCATTGAAAATATATACACCTTCAACAGTAACTCTATGCAATGTGCACTTCAGAATCAGTAATATTTCCTCTTATCAATGCCGCACTAAATATCTATCTAATCATCAATTGAGCCTGCAATAATTCATACGTTTACCATATTATCAGCACAAGATCCATTTCGGACCATAAGACAAAGAGGCAGAAGTTAGCCATTCGGCCCATCGAGACTACTCCACCATTCAATCTTACAATGTACAATGTCCTTTTATTGTCATGTGTGCCCCATTGTCGGAGTACAGTGAAAAACTTTTACAATATCTGCCTTCTTATGTCGACATCTTAGGTACAAGTACCTCGGTACAATTCTTGGATTCAGCAGGGGGTTAATAGTAGTTGCTTAATTACATAGTTGAAAATAAGTTAAAAACAGGAATATATTAAGGGGTATATTAAGGAGTTAACATTACAGTGTTCTAAGGTATGGATTGTCCCCTTGCACCAGCATCTGTCCAGGACTTGCTGCCTGTGCGCTGCTCGGGGGGTTCCTTCCCCTATGCTGCTGTGGGGCTTCTTCTTAGCTGATAACCCGATTCTTCCACCTTGTCCCCATAACCTTTGATCCCCTCAACAATCAAGCTAAGACCATAAGACATAGGAGCAGAGACGCGCGGTCCTCAAACTGTTGCACCCTATTACATATTGCCCACTGGATGGTTTGCTAGGTTAAATTATCTGCAATGTTTGCATGGAATTTGCCAATAGAAAATCATGAGGTTTGTAAGGTTGAACTGACTGAAAAAGGTGGATTCCACAGCTCGAAGAAAAACTCAACGTTTCCTTTTAAAATGTCACAAACAATTTTACAATTTTCAGTTAGCATAAACAAAAATTTAGTTTCCTCTCGTAAGGTATTGACAGCAACATAATAGATTGTTTTCACAGAAGCTGATGAAGGGAGTGTAACCCTTAACGTATCCTTTGAGTCAGTGATAAAGCACCACATCTATACGTTGTCACTTCTGGCCATAAATTTCAGTTCGTATCAGTGCTGTATTCCATGCTACGTGGATATATTTGAATGACAGTCACTATTCTCTTTCACATGAAACTTTCTGCTAATTATCTGCATTTTATTTTGCTCTCTAGTTTCACAAGGAACGGTTTAAAATAGATATGCCCCATCGATTTAAAGTCTACAACTACAAGAGCCCAACTTTCTGTGAGCATTGTGGGACCCTGCTGTGGGGTCTGGCAAGACAAGGTTTAAAGTGTGAAGGTAAGCACAGAACTAGCAGAAATACAATAGATCAAGTAACTATCACCCAAAATAAAAACCATTTCAAACATTCTCCCCTGCAGCTTCTAGTGGGCAATTTTAGAAGGCTTCTTTGATCATCCACATCCAGTGTCAATAGACTTAACACTTGAGGTTGTTGACCTGCTCACCGAGCTGCCTTGTTCTCCTTCAGACGTTTCATCACCATGCTAGGTGACATCATCAGTGGAGCCTCCGATGAATTTATACTGTAAATTCCAAGTGGAGTAGAATAACATCGCTTCATCGGAGGCTCCACTGATGATGTTACCTAGCACGGCGATGAAACATCCGAACAAGAACAAGCCAGCTCCACGAGCAAGTCAACAACCTCACCCACGACCCAAGCTACAGGTCTTTGCCAAAACTTTAGATGTAACACTACATGGCAGATGCACGATCTATCAGATCATTGTTCTAGAACCTCGATTTAAATGCTGAAATTAGGCTCCCGCCTGTTTCAGGCCAAAGTTTTGATCATACATTTTGAGACCTGCTCTAAAATTGAGTTAGCTAATCTGTTTTCTTTGTAGTTTCCTCTGGGGTTTGCTGAAGTTTCAGTGAGAACCGAGTAGTAGGCATATTGAAACCACCCCTCAGGGATGTCTTATTTTCATAAGTGTATCTTGGGGTGAGATAGAGATCATTAAAGCGCAACGGAAAGAAACCTATTCAGATTGCAACACTGCAGATGAATAGAATTATGTCTGCTGGAAAATTCCTTATCCCCACAAAATGCTAACTGGATAAATTATGGTCACTCTTCCCACAGCAAAGTTCTGTTTTGTCTGCGTAAAATTCCAGTTTCTGGAAATGATTGCATTTCAAAGTCCCATACACTGCTTGGCGGAAAACAACAACATGCCATAAACAGTCCTTCAGTAACAAAGTGAATACCATATCCCTGATCAATATGACCCTGTGTTTGTTTTCCCCTCGGCCAGAGTGCGCCATGAATGTTCATCACAGATGCCAGAACAAAGTAGCAAATCTGTGTGGTGTTAACCAGAAGATGATGGCTGAGGCTTTGGCTCAAATAGAAAGTGAACAACAGGTATGGAACATTCTTCAGCTACCATTTTGAGTCAAGTTTGAGAAGTCTTTTGTGTCACAGAAAACAGCATGAAATTAAAAGGTCACCCGAGTAATATGATTAGTCCCAGTCTTGTTGTTCTACTGGGGAAATGGTCACACCTCAGTATGAGACTAAAGCTGTTTCCAGGTGAGGAAAATAAAGACGGTGTAAATAACTCAACATCGGAAATAAATACTCCGTTCACATTGTTGTCCAGTTCTTCCTTAAAATAGTTTAGACAACTCCAACCAGAATGTTATCAATGAGTTTGCCCTAGGTATCCCACAATATTGAAGCAATCAAATAACTACAAACACAAGCCAGTGCCAATGCAAAACAGTCCCAGCTTAATTAGGAAACAAGTTACAAAAGCTTTTGCAACAACACGATGCTATTTTTAACAAAAACAAGAGTTGCTGGAAAGGCTCAGCAGGTCTGGCAGCATCTGTGAAATAAAAAATCAGAGTTAACGTTTCCGGTCCGGACCCTTCCTCAGAACTCCCTGGACAATTCACTCTGATTTCTCACAACAGATGCTCCCAGACCTGCTGAGCTTTTCCAGCAATTTCTGGTTTTGTTTCCGATTTACAGCATCTGCAGTTCTTTCAGTTTTTATGTAACACCATTTCTAATCCTTTTCAATCCCTTAAGCTTACATTACTTCCCAAATCTCTTGTAGATTTGCGCACCCTCTATTTCTTTCTCTCTCTCTCTTCCTCTCTCTTCCCCTCTCTCTCTCTCTTTCTCTCTCTTCCTCCTTCTCTCTCTTTGGACAATCAGCGGGTCTCTGCCATTTGCCATGCTGGCCTCCTGAGAAGGTCCAAGAGGATTCAGGAGAAATTGGCCTGTAGAACCTTGTTTTTATACCTTTTTTGATGGTTTTCTGTAACTTTCTACACTTCTGGCCATTCAGAAGAGACATTTAATAATTTGAAACCTTGTCAATTGTTTGGATGGCTTGCTACTGTTTGTTTCTTTCTGTAGCAGGACCCAGTGCTGGGCCCTCCTTTGTTTGGTGGATAAGTTGTTGGGTGTGTGTCTGTCCAGGGTAACTGTTGTCTTCTACATTATGCTAATGTTATTAGCGCCTGGCTGCTGTGTTTGCACTGTGTCTGGTGTGTGGGTTTTGTGACTTCAGAGTTTTACGTGGCCAATGTACCCAGCATCCCTTGCTGTTTGGCCAAGTGAGCAATCAATTGTGTTTTAGCAGCGAAGAGGCTGAGCATGTAAACTTGGCTCACTTCATTTTATTTGCATTTTGGGTGTCTTCTACCAAAAGGCTCCTCTGAATGTTGAAGGTCTGTACTTGGGCAAGTTGCAGACGTGGATCCTAGAGTAATTGGGATGAAAAATGAATTTGTTGACACTTATGTAGCACCTTTCACATTGTCAGGATGTTCCACAACACCTTGCAGCCAATAAAGTACATTTGAAGTGTCGTCACCGATGTCATGTGGGGAATGCCACAGTCATTGTGTTCACAGTAGATCATCTCTTTTTGTGATGATAATTGAGGGATAAATATCGGCCACGAGACAACGTATAACTCCAAATATTTCTTCAAACGAGTAATGCAGGATCTTTTCCATTTTCCTGAGGTGGTAGCAAGGTCTTAGTTCGAAAAGATGCCACCGGCAACAGTGCTGCACTCCCTCAGCCCTGCTTGGCAGTAACAGCTGAGATTCCTGTACTTTGGAGCGGCGCCTGAACATACCGAGGTCCAACATACGAAGGTCTAACTTGCTGTTCATTGACTCTGACGGCTCATAGGGCAGATTATTGCTCCCCAGTAAGGGGCGAAGATAGACGCCAGTGAGCATAAACATTCACACCATCCCCCTGGTATGCTGGCACCTTGGGGCAGGCAGTCGACGGGCCTGTGGGCCTTTTCTGCACTGTACAAACCTATGAATCGGGGAGGAGTTGGGGGCACCTTTCCTGGAGGTGTGCTCAAGGACAGAAAGACAAACTATTTATGACAGACCAACGGTGAGACGATGGATGAAGTTTCCAGTCTGCCTAAGGCAGGAGGTGGTCTCCCATCAGCTGCTAAAGTGCCAGGCCAGCTCTCTTGCTAGGCTTTGAGGCCTTTGTGACCATCTGCCTGGCACCAGCTTCTGTGTCAGGCCTATAAAAAGTTCTGGTCAGATGGCATTTGGAATAATTTGAACAGTTTTGGGCCCCATATCTAAGGAACAATGTTCTGGTATTGGAGGGGGTACAGAGGAGGGTTACAAGAATGATCCCAGGGGTTGAAGGGCTTGTCATGTGAGGAGTGGTTGTGGACTCTGGGTCGATACTCGATGGAGTTTAGAAGGATGAGGGGGGATCTGATTGAAACTTTCAGAATATCGATAGGCCTGGATAGAGCTGACATGGAGAGGAGGTTTCCACTAGTAGGAGAGACTAGGACCAAGGGCACAGCCTCAGAGGGAAGGGATTACTCTTAAGAACGGAGATGAACAGGAGTGCCAGGGTGGGACAGTGGCTCAGTGGTTAACACTGCTGCCTCACAGTGCCAGGGGCTCAGGTTCAATTCCAGCCTTGGGTGACCATCTGTGTGGATTTTGCATATTCTGTGTGAGTTTCTGCTGGGTGCTTTGGTTTCTTCCCACAGTCCATAGATGTGCAGGTCAGATGGATTGGCCATGGTTACCTCAGCGTTTGCAAGGACAGGATGGGAGGCTGGATTTGGATCTAGGTGGGATGCTTTTCAACAGGTCAGTGCAGACTTGACAGGCCAGATAGCCTCTTTCCGAACTGTAGGGATTGTATGAATTTCTTCATCGAGAGGGGGGGAATCTATTGTTACAGAGGTGCCCAAGTCATTGAGTATATTTAAGAGATAGATAGGTTTTTGATTGGTCAAGTATTACAGGGAGAATGGGGTTCGGGAACATATCAGCGATGATCAATCAGTGGACCAGACTCGATGGACCAAATGGCCTATTTCTGCTCCTATGTCTTATATATAGTTTTGAATGACAGAAAATTGAACCCAGAGGTACTAGGGAGTGATTGCAATGAAAGGCCTCCAATTACCATTTAATGATCATGCAGATGCTTGTGTGTTTAATTATCGTGTGAAACCTGAGGTTAGATAATGGTCTAGTAATGACTGCAGAAATGCCGGTTATTATTCATCATCCACACTCATTCACAGAATAGTTTGGTTGTCAGCTGGAAGCCCACTCAGATCCAGCCTGCCTCACGTCATTGATACCAGAGAATTATCTATTCTGCTGTCATTGTTGGGAACTGCATAAGAAATAATTAACAGCTGATTCTGTTCCCAAGTATTTATAATAGCAATATTCACCAAAAAAATTCATACAGCTGCAGACTTTACAGTTTTGTGAACTCTGAGATTCAATATTCCCGTACAAAAACATCTGACTGTCCTCTCCAGGTGTATATGAATCATATAGGCCAAACGAGGTCTTTCGGCCCATTTAGTCTCAACTACCAAAATATACAACTGCACTACACAAGTCGCACTTTCCCCGCACTAGGCCCATCGCCTTGAGTGTTATAAAATTTCAAGCACTCATCCAAGTACTTTTTTAAAGGTGGTGTGGTTGCCCTCCTCGAGGGTGGTACGGTGGCTCAGTGGTTAGCACTGTTGCCTTACAGCGCCAGGGACCCGGGTTGAATTCCACCCTCGGGCGACCGTCTGTGTGGAATTTGCACATTCTCCCCATGTCTGTGTGGGTTTCCTCTGGGTGCTCCGGTTTCCTCCCACAGTCCCAAAGATGTGCAGTTTAGGCGGATTGGCCATGCTAAATTGCCCATAATGTTCGGGGATGTGTAGAATAGGTGGGTTATAGGGGGACAGGTCTGGTTGGGATGCTCTGATGGTCGGTATGGGCTTGTTGGGCCGAAGGGCCTGTTTCCACACTGTCGGGATTCTATGATCTACCCTCCCAGGCAATGCATTCCAGACCCCTACCACCTTCTGGGGGAGAAACATTTTCCTCAAATCCCCTCTTAAACCTCTGAACATGCTTTCAGTTTTCTGATTAAGTTGTTATACATCTGGCTGAAACCTGTACATATTTTAGGATAATCAGGGAAATTACGACCAATGAATTGACTGTGGACAAATTGAACAATTGACCTGAGTGAGCAACTCTGAGCACCACACATTAGGAAAAATATTTTGGCTTCAGAGTGAGCGTGGTGTACATTTGCTCAGACAATTCTGCACTCAAAGGATTAAATTATAGAAAGCATCCTATCTGGATACATCACAGCTTAGCATGGCAACTGCTCTTCCCAAGACCGCAAGAAACTACAAAGAGCTGTGAACACAGCCCAGACCATCACACAAACCAGCCTTCCATCCATTGGCTCTGTCTATACTTCCTGCTGCCTCAGGAAAGCAACCAATGTAATCAAAGACTCCTCCCACCCCAGTTATACTCTCTTCCACCCTCTTCCATCGGCCAAAAGATATAAAAGTCTGTGTACACATACGAACAGATTCAAAAGCAGTTTCTTCCCCGCTGTTATTAGATTTCTGAATGTACCTCTCAAATCAAAGTTTTTGGGAAAACTTGTACCTCAGGTTGTTGACTTGCTCACTGAGCTGGAAAGTTTGTTAGCAAACATTTCATCACCATGCTAGGTAACATCATCAGTGCACCTCTGGTGAAGTGTCGGTGTTCTGTCCCATGCAACACGCATGAGAATTTCTGGAGGCCTGGCACTCAATCCATTAACAAACATGTAGAGCTGGACCCCATATACCAACCACAAAGAAACAAATCTGAAACAAATCCACCCAGCCCAGCAAACTGAGACACACAAATAGCAAGTGGGATAGAACACTGACGCTTCCCTGGAGGCACACTAATGATGTTACACAGTAAGGTGACAAAACATCTGCGAACAAACTTAACAGCTCAGTGAGCAAATCAACAACTGTACCTCTCAAATGTTAAACTTAATGTTGGCCTCGCTCTCTGCGCACCTTCTTTGTAGCATAACGTTGTATTCCTCGCTCTGTTCTATTATGCTATGATCTTTGTATAGCGCAATCTGCCTGCACTGCGCACAAAACAAAACTTTTCACTGTACCTAGTATAAGTGGCAATAATAAATCAAATCACATTAAATCAGTTACGAGAAGCAATTAAATCATCTAGGCCATATTGCCTGTGATTTAGACGGTTAAAGAGTAATTTGATCAAAGATTGCGAGATATTCAGTGGAACAAAAGAGAGAGATCTATTTTAACAATTAGGAGAGTAAGGTTTAATGATCTAAAAATTAGTGCCAGATTTCTCAGGAATGAAGTTAGGAATCACAGCTACACCAAGAGTGCAGAAGGCATTTGGAACTCTGTTTGGCAAATTATTCTTGATCAGTGCGGGAAATTAATGATTACAGGGAAAATTCAGGAAAGTGGACATGAGGAATGTCAAATCAGCCACGACCTTATTGAATAGCAGTATAGGCTCAAGCGGCCAAACCGCCTACTCCTGTTGATATTATGGTCTAAATGGTTATTAATGTCGGACAGATTGGCAAATTGAAGTATAATTTTAAAATTAACAAAGGGTATGGCACAAAGGTGGGGATCTGGAGTTCAGTCACAGATGAACCACATACCCACTGGATGCTAGAACAGGCCAGCAGGGCTGAATGGCCTCCTCCTGTTCCTGTTTTGTAATTTGTCACAATGTTTATGAGTCAGCAAGCTGCAGCACCAAGCAATAAACAGAAATATAGTTTCTCATTTTGAGACTGGGAGTGCAGGGGGGATGTGGGGACTTGGCTGAGACCAGTATAGGTGCACGTTGCCAAGGGCACCGCTGAAGGATACAACAGTGCAGTCGTGGGCCCTATCTAAAATCAAGTGGATCCTGAGCCCTCAGGGATAGGTTTACCTTACAACTCTCATTAATAAGCCACGCTAGCTGGTAAATCATCAGAAAGGCAGCAGAGAATTTGCAACTTGACTGGCTCAGCAATCAGTACTGGGTCTGGGGCAAAGAATACCTTTGTTTCCAATCGCACAATAAAAGGCATAGCACTGGCCACGCTAAATTGCCCATAGTGTCCAGGGATGTGCAGGCTGGGTGGATTAGCCACAGGGAATGCGGGGTTGCAGGGATAGGGTAGAAGGATGGATCTGGGTAGGATGCTCTTCAGAGAGTTGGTATGGTCACGATGGGCCGAATGGCCTGCTTCCACACTGTAGGGATTCTATGAAGATCTTGAACTGAGCCTCAACCAAACCCTATTACCTCCTCCCCCCTTGAAAAGAAAAATCCTAAAAGATAGTAAATGTGTGTTCAATAAATCGAATTATTATGCTTAAATTGGTGGATGTGGGATAATACAACTGGATAGGTCCCAGATTCTATTGATATTTTCTCTTGGTTGCTGATTCTGAAATGTCCCGTTTGTGTCCCTTTCGATCCAGGCACGTAGCTTACGTGATCAAGTGGAAATAGGTCGAGAAAGACCCGTTGAAATTGACCAGTGTGTTCTCAAAAAGCCATCAGAAGCTGAACAGGTTGCTGCCTCTGCCAAGAAAGGTACTGTAACACACTTCAACCATTTGATGTTTTGTTTCAACAGTGCAGGACCTGTGCAATTTCTGAAAGACATTATTTATTTAAACTGCCCAGTCCAGGCTTCCCAAGGGATTTAAGGTGCCCAGACTCAGTTGCCACATTTGTGCTCCCAGGAAATAACGCAAAGATTGTCCTTGTGAGAACAAGCACACACAAGAAAATGCTATGCTGTTGGTTTATCTGGGACCACCATCTACCCTCCCTGGAGAGTCATTCAGAGACCAAGTGAAGCAGGCAAGGAAAGTCATCTTAGGTTGTTAGGCTCTGAGGAACAAACTGGAGTTTCAGCCTCCATCCAGACTGTGTGTCCTAAACCTGTATCTGAACAAATAGTGAACCCTCTGCAAAGCTGCACTAACTTCTTACAAAGGCTTTAAATACTATTAAAAAAATGTACTGCGCTATTCGTAATAAACATGAATAGTGATCCAGGGGGCAGGTGGGTATTACTCTGTAAACTCAGCAGGTCTGGCAGCATCTGTGGAGAGAGCAACAGAGTTAGTTTTGAGTTATTGAGTCATAGAGTTGCACAGCACGGAAACAGACCCTTCGGTCCAAATCCTCCATGCTGACCAGATATCCTGCATAAACCTAGTCCCATTTGCCAGCATTTGGCCCAAATCCCTCTAAACCCTTCCTATTCACGTCCCCATCCAGATGCCTTTTAAATGTTGTAATTGTACCAGCCTCCATCACTTCCTCTGGTAGGTCATTCCATACACTAATCACCCTCTGTGTGAAAACGTTGCCCCTTAGGTCCCTTTTAAAAATCTTTCCTTTCTCACCTTAAAACTATGCTCTCTAGTTTTGGACTCCCCTACCCTTGGAAAAAGACCTTGGTTATTCACCCTATCCATGACCTTCATGATTTTATAAACCTCTATAAGGTCACCCCTCAGTCTCCAATGGGTCTAGGGAAAATGGCCCCCAGCCTATTCAGCTTTTCCTCATAGCACAAACGCCCCAATCCTGACAACATCCTTGTAAATCTTTTCAAGTTGAACAACATCTTTCCTATAGCAGGGAGACCAGAATTGAACGCAGTATTACAGAAGTGGCCGAACCAATGACCCTTCCTCAGACTTGCTGAGTTTGCCCATCAATCTTTGTTTTTGTTTCACATCTCCAGCATCCACAAATCTTTGTTTTATTTTAATGTTCTGGGTCTTTGGATTCATCTACCATGGTGTGATTTGGTGGAATTTCAATTCAATCAATAAATTTAGAATAAAAAGTTAGTCTTGTTAATGGTGACCATGAAACTACCTCACTGACCAATCCCCACCACCACCTTGCTACACTCACCTTTACTAGCTTCATCCCCGCCTCCATGACCTGTCCATCTTCTCTCCCACCTATCCACTCCACTATCTACCTGCTATCACCGTCCTCCCCCCTCTCTCTATTTATTTCTGAGCCCCCTTCCCCTCCCCCATTTCTGAAGAAGGGTCCCAACCCGAAACATCAGCTTTCCTGCTCCTCTGATGCTGCCTGGCCTGCTGTGTTCGTCCAGCTCCACACTGTGTTATCTCAGACTCCAGCATCGGAAGTTCTTACCATCTGTATGAAACTATATCAGTTGTTGTAAAAACCCATGTTTACTAATGTCCTTTAGGGAAGGAAAACTGCTGTTCCGTCCTGATCAGGCCAATAGAAATGTGGCTGACTCTTAAATGCCCACTGATATGGCCTATTCTCAGTTCAAGGGTAATTAGGGATGGGCAATGAATGCTAATCTATCCAGAGGCACCCATATCCTGTGAAAGAGAGAAGATAATAATTGAGAAAGAGGCGTAAATAAGACAAAACACAAAGTAATGGTTTGGTAGAGAGATTGGAACAAAATATTAATGGAGACGCAGCAGTGGGAGATATTTAGGAAGGTGATTAATAGATTACAGCTAAAACAGAAGGGATGAAATAACGTGAGATCATTAACACAAAATGGATTAGTAGTGAATCTGCACCAAATTTCCATTAACTTGGAAACTATTGCCAAGATTGTTCATTTCAAACCAAGTAGAAGTGACAGTGAGGTGGGAAATGAGTCACCATAACCCCTTTGAACAATTGGGCTCAGTATTTGAGTGGAAAGAATATTGGGAGTAGTGAGAAGTCCGCTCTGAGCCTTGCTCACAACATAGATATAAAACAAATACACCTGACTACTCCACTTTAAATCATGAGCAAATCCATCCAGCATGGAACATCATGGAGTATAATTAAAACAGAAACACAATGTTCCCTCAAATTTTACTAGTCGTGGATGGTGAGCTTGTTAAAACAGGAAACAGACAACCAAAGAAGAGAATTGTATAAAGTGAGGACTACACTCTGGAAAGTGAACAGTGACAGGCAAAATCCATACACAGAGAATGGGAGGACTCTTGTAGCATATTGGTAGTGTTCTTATCTCTGGGCAAGAAGATCCAAGTTCAAGTAGACGTGTCTGAACAGGATGACTAAAATATCTATACAGAGGATAGTCAGAGGGGATATCTTATCCAGAGCCCTATAGGGCCAGGTTTCATGTGATCTGATATAGCTCCTTTTGTACATGCTCAGTATTGATTCTTAGGGTAAAGGTATAGTTCACCCTTTTCTTCACAAAGGTAACAAAATTATATTTGAGGAAGTTAAGAATTAAGTTTAAACAATGGAGCAAACAGGATAGTAAAGAAAAATGGCTGTATGAGATTAACAAAGAGTAGAAAAAGAAGCTGTAGTCTATAGACACACGATCAACAAATGGAAAATTGAGATACGAAGAAGTTTCCTAAGGCTCAGACAGGATAAACTCAGAGGTAGTGATAGTGAGATTACACAAATATTGAATTTATCAGAGTCTAACAAGGCAAATGTGAATTCCTTTTTAATCTCTGCTTCTAATGATATGGCATTTAAGATGGCAAGGAAGGATAAACTAGATATATGTAAAAAGGATCGAATGCCTAGTCTGGATGAATTACGTTCTTGTTCACGACTTTTAATAACAGAGCACTTGTTTTAAATAGATATAGAAATTTCAATAGAAGAAAATGAACTCTTGGATAGCTAACGGTATTCTTACATTTCAAAAAAGTGAAGGAGAAATTTCAGAGCACCATGGTCTGATTGTCTTCACATTGAAAAGCAAAGACCAGAAGAGACCTACAAAAGACATCGCTGCAATTAACCATAAAGTGGGAGCTAAACAATTATGCTGTACAATTCTAGTAATGATCAATAACTGGAATCTCACTTTTTTTTATTATTTTGGTAAAAGTCTTCCAAAACATTTTTCTAAATTCTATTCATGGAATATGGTTGTCACTGGCTAGGCCAGCATTCATTGCCCAGAGGGCAGATAGAATCAATCACATTGCTGGGGATTCTGGAATCACATGTAGGCCAGACCGGGTAAAGATGGCAGATTTTCCTCCCTAAAGGACATTAGTGAACCAGATGAGCACTTACAACAATCTATGGTCGCTTTAGTCACTGTTGCTAAGACAAGCTCTCAATATTAATTGAATTTAAATTCCTATTGCCATGGAAGCTTTTTAAACCCATAATCTTGTGGGTTGTGAATCTAGTGACTTTAACATGAAACCATCATTTTCTCTCTAAGAGAAATATTAACTAGAAACAGCATTGAAATAAGTAGAGATAACACAGTGTGGAGCTGGAGGAACACAGCAGGCCAGGCAGCATCAGAGGAACAGCTGACGTTTCGCATCGGGACCCTTCTTCAGAAATGAGGAAGGGGAAGGGGGCTCTGAAATAAATAGTGGGGGCGGGGTCAGGCTGGGGAAGGTAGGTGAGATGGTGATAGGTGAGTGTAGGTAGGTAGTGGTGGGTATTGGTCAGTGAGGTGGGAGGACCAGATAGGTGGGAGAGAAGATCGACAGGTCAAGGAGGCAGGGATGAGGGGGGGGATTTGGTCGTGGGATGAGGCCAGCGGTGGGGAGATTTTGAAGCTAGTAAAGACCAGAACTGGACACAATACTCCAGATGTGGCCGAACCAGGGTTTTGTATAGCTGAAGCATAACTTCATGGCTCTTGAACTCAATCCATCTATTAATGAAAGCTAACACACCATACGCCTTCTTAACAACTCTATCCACCTGGGTGGCAGCTTTCAGGGAACTGTGGATATAGAACATAGAACATAGAACATTACAGCGCAGTACAGGCCCTTCGGCCCTCGATGTTGCGCCGACCTGTGAAACCAATCTGAAGCCCATCTAACCTAAACTATTCCATTATCATCCATAAGCTTATCCAATGACCATTTAAATGCCCTTAAAGTGGGCGAGTCTACTATTTTTGCAGGCAGGGCATTCCACGCCCTTACTACTCTCTGAGCAAAGAACCTACCTCTGACATCTGTCCTATATCTATCACCCCTCAATTTAAAGCTATGTCCCCTCGTGCTAGCCATCACCATCCGAGGAAAAAGGCTCCCACTGTCCACCCTATCTAATCCTCTGATCATGAGCCCCAAGATCCCTCTGCTCCTCCACACTGCCAAGAATCTTTCTGTTAGCCCTGTATTCTGCTTTCAAATTTGTCCTTCCAAAATGAATCACCCCACACTTTTCAGGGTTAGACTCCATCTGCTACTTCTCAGCCCAGCTCTGCATCCTATCAATGTCCCTTTGTAACCTAGAACAGCCCTCCGCACTATCCACAACTTGATCCACCTTCGTATCGTCCGCGAACTTACTAATCCACCCTTCCACTCCTACATCCAAATCATTTACAAACTCATAGAAATATGACCCTTGGATAGGCACATGGATGATAGTACAATGTAGGGTATGCAGGGTAGTTTGACCTTAGAGTAGGATATTAGGTCAGCACAACATCGTGGGCCGAAAGGCCTGTGCTGTGCTGTACTGTTCTATGTTCTGTGTTCTAAATGGTTTTGAGCTTCTTTGATTAACATTATCAATTGTGAATCTGAAACCTGTGAAGGGAGAGGACAGGAACTGGTAATTGTTGCCTCTGCTTTGATGTTCCCTTTTCATAGTGATGGATGCGATCTCCTTTTCTCTCACTCTCCTTTTCCACCACCCGCGCCCCCCATGTGGCCATTTAGGAACAGCAAATCATTGAAATAAAGATTTGCATTTACCTTCTGACCACTTTACAATATCTTTGGCCTTGGTGTGTGTTGACTTACTTTAAAATAGAGTGCCATCTTTTATTCAGGGGAAAGAAGCCAACATTCATGCAAAGCAGAATCCCAGCAATTAGCTACTACAATCGTAACAAGAACAACTGACATTTGTATAGCACCTTTGAAGTAATATCATGTCCCATTGCACTTCACGTGTGGAATATAAAATGAAATATGAGACCGAGACCCAAAACATCAGCTGATCAAAAGCTCGGTCAAAGACTTAGGGCTTCAATAAGCTTCTTAAAGAAGGAAGAGAGGTAGAGAGGAGGAAGGTTTATGCTAGGAATTCCAGAGCTTAGAGCCCCGATACCTGATGACACAGCCACTATTGGTGGAGCGATGGGTACAAGCCAGGTTCAAAGGTCAGAATCTGAGGAATGCACAATTTCCAGGGAAAAGGTGATGATTATGGGGCTGGAGGAGGTTAGATATTGACAGGCAGCTAATGTAGGTCAATGAGCAGAAGTTTAATTGTGGAATGTGGATGGGTGCATGCTGCAATATGGGCAGCAAAATTTTGGGATAGCCTCAAGTTTTGTATTTGGAGATAACAGTTGAGGGAGATGTGTTCTTCAGATTCATTATTTTTCAGAATCATAGAAATATCAAAACATAGAACAAAAGAACAGGTGTAGGCCATCCCAGCCCCTCCAGTCTGCTCCCCCATTCAATATAGTCACGGCTGATCATTGAGTCTAATCCCACCCTCCTCCCATTTCCCTTGATCCCTTTAGCCACAAGAGTTATATATACCTCCTTCTCAAAAACACATTTTGTTTCAGCCTCAGCCACTTTCTGTGGCAGAGAATTCCACACGCTCGCCATTCTCTGGGCAAAGAAATTTCTCCTTATCTTAGTCCTAAAAGGTTTATCCCTTATCCTTAAACTATAACCCCTGGTTCTGGACTCCCCCATCATCAGGGACAGGTTTACTGCATCTAACCTGTCTAGTTTTTCATAGGATCCCTACAGTGATCCCTTCGGCCCAACAAGCCCACTCCGACGATCAGAGCATCCCTCCTAGACCCATTTCCTCCATAACCCACCTAATCCACACATCCCTGAACACTACGGGCAATTTAGCATGGCCAATCCACCCTAACCTGCACCTAATCCACCTGCACATCTTTGGGCTGTGGGAGGAAACCAGAGCACCCGGAGGAAACCCATGCAGGCACAGGGAGAATGTGCAAACTCCACACAGTCGCCCAAGGGTGGAATCGAACCCGGCTCCCTGGCGCTTTTTAGAAATTTATAGATCCTCTCTTGTTCTTCAAAACTCCAGTGAATACAAGCCTAACTGAGTCGATCTCTCCTCATGCATCAGCCCTGCCATCCCAGGGATCGATCTGGTAGACTTTGCTTCACTCCCCCTTTAGGAAATACATCTTTCCTCAGATAAGGAGACCAAAACTGCACAGAACACTCAGGTGTGGCCTCACCTGTAGAATTGTAGCAAGATATTCTCTTGTTACGAAGGCCAGCATATAGTTTGCCTTCTTTATTGCCAGCTGCACCTGTACACTTACTTTCAGGAGGTGGTGCACGAGGACACCAAGTACCATGCAGAAGGAGGGGGGAGATATTGTGTCACATCTCAATAAGACAGTAGTTTATCAGTACGACACTGAAATTTTTGTATGACCCATAATTTATTGCAACAAGCATAGAGTCTTAGAGCTGTACAGCACAGAAACAGACCATTTGGTCCAACTCATCCATGCTGACCAGATATCCCAAACTAATCTTGTCCCGTTTGCCAGCATTTGGCCCATATCTCTCTAAACCCTTCCTATTCATTTACCCATCCAGATGCCTTTTAAATGTTGTAATTGTACCAGCCTCCTCCACTTGCTCGTTCCATACACGCACCACCCACTGTGTGAAAAAGTTACCCCTCAGGTCCCTTTTAAATCTTTCCCCTCTTAAACCTATGCCCTCTACTTTTGGACTCTGCTACCCTGGGGAAAAGACTTTGACTATTCACCCTATCCATGCCCCTCATGATTTTATAAACCTCTATGATCAGCAGTAGGCCATTCATCCCCTTGAGTCAGTTCCACCACTGAATCAGACTCTGGCAAATCTTTGTCTTCCATCCATTCAATGATATCATGCTGTCTTTTCCCCAATATGAATTATATCTTGTGAAAGGTAGACACATGCTGTGACTAGCACCAGCTGGATAACAAAGAAGGTGATAACAGTTCTCAAATTCTCCATTGAAATGCAAATATAATTTCCCTGCAAGTTCCTGAGTGTTCCTGCTTCCTGTCCCCAGAGGTGCAAGGAATCAGCTGGGAAAGTCCGATTGAAGAGGAAGTTTCATCGTCCGACTCTCCCACCTACGAAGAACCGCCCCAGATCGATCAGCGCAGGTTCACAGTTGACGACTTTGTCCTTCACAAAATGCTGGGAAAAGGGAGTTTTGGCAAGGTGAGCAAAATGTAACTCTGCCGTAGGCACAGCGCGGTGGGACGAGGGAATCCATAGCTCGAAACAGTCTCTCAGCTTGGTCTGACAGCCAGAAACATGGGACCAAATGGAACAGGATAGACTTCATGGCTGAATCAGAGACAGTAAGAACTGCCGATGCTGGAGTCTGAGATAACACAGCGTGGAGCTGGAGGAACACAGCAGGCCAGGCAGCATCAAACAAACAGGTACCCGAAACATCAGCTTTCCTGCTCCTCTGATGCTGCCTGGCCTGCTGTGTTCCTCCAGCTCCACACCGTGTTATCTCAGTCCTCATGGCTGCTCACACCTGCATGCCAAAGTTTTACATCACCTCTGCTGCCACGAAAGAAGACAGTGTGTCACGGCCATGTCACTAGTAATCCAGAGCCCTGGGCTAATGCTCTGAGGATAAGGATTCAAATCCTACCATGGCAGATGGTGAAATTTGAATTCCATAATAAAAGTCTGGAATTGAAAGCTAGTCTAATGTGACCATCTAACCATTGTCAATCGTCAAAAAAACCCATCTAGTTCACTTTGGGGAGGTTACCTGGTCTGGCCTACATGTGACTCCAGACCCACGGCAATATGGTTGATTCTAACTGTCCTCTGGGAAATTAGAGATGGGTAATAAATGCTGCCTAGCCAGCAACGTCCTCATCCCACAAACGAATAAAAAGAACAGCCAAAATATACTGTCTGACAATGCGGCAAGCAAAGCTTAATCTCTGTAGTCTCACCGAGCCTCCGGAGACCGCATCTTCCAAACTGGTGCTCTCAACCATCTTTGAGGACAATGGCCGGAGATACCTGGGAACACCACCGCCAGGCAGATTCCCTCCAAACTCCGCACCATCCTGACTGGGAAGTGTATTGTCGTTCCTCACTGTCACTGGGTTAAAATCCAGGAACCACCTCCCTAACAGCACAGTGGGTGTACCTCCACCCCAAAAAGGTCATGGTTTAAGAAGGCAGCCCACCTCTACCCTGTCCTGTGCAATTAGGGTCAGGCAATGATTGCTCTCCCAGCCACCAGTGCCCATAACTCTTGTTTGAGTTTTTAAAAAAATCTCATAATACCCATTCTGGCTCCAAAGTATCCCTCTTATATAATATTGAATGTGAAGAAAGGGGTTAGAATTTCTGTGCGATTCTTTCAATTAATTGACATTCCAGGGAAACAGGGTGAGAACTGTGAGACAACAGAAAATCAAGCTAAAAGTTTTCAGTTAAAATCCCATGGTGATTTAGCTTCAATAAAGTAGCTTCAAGGTCACAGAAAATTTGTAATAAATGTACTTGTGTGTGCGTTTCTGACAATTCCCCTGCTATTTTACCAAAGGCATTAACACACTTTAAGAAACTGGAGTTCTGCTTTTCTTAAAACAACAGACATGGAAACTGATATTTCACAGTGCCATGCCAAAGCACACACTGTGTGAACCGGGATTTCTAGTGTGAAGGACCACACCATAGTGTACGATATTTTACAGTTTGACATGAGTAATTGTTATTTGTGGAGCTGTCCTGTGACTAGAAAATATTCTATGATATCTTGTTTCTTTTGGTTGGTATGTTGGTGTGAATATTTTGCTCCTAATAACATTGGCCCTTTATGAGTCAGAAACATTTGTAATATTTAAACAGTGTTTGGATATTCACTTGCACTGCCATGGACTGCAGAGCTATGGGCCAAGAATTGGAAAATGGGATTTGTGTAGACAGATCTTTGTTGGCCAGTACAGACACCATGGGCCAAATAGCCTCCTTCGAATGTCTATGTGCCGAGATAGTGTTGAAAATAATGAATGTAGGAAAGCTTCTGACAATGTCCAGATGTTAGTAACAAAAACAGAAGTTGCTGGAAGAGCTCAGCAGGTCTGGCAGCATCTGTGAAGAAAAAAGTCAGAGTTAACGTTTCTGGTCCGGTGACCCTTGCTCAGAACTTCCACAGAACTTTGTCCAGAAGTTAGTAGTGTACCAGCAAGCACCACCAAGCAGCAAAACATCCCGAAGCTGTGAGGAGGTGGTGGCAAATGTGGTAATGTCATAGAGTTATAAAGATGTACAGCACAGAAACAGACCCTTCAGTCCATCTCATCCATGCCGACCAGATATCCTTATTAATCAAGTCCCATTTACCAGCATTTGGCCCATATCCCTCGAAACACTTCAAATACATGTACCCTTCCAGATGCCTTTTAAATGTTGTAATTGTACCAGCCTCCACCACTTCGTCTGGCAGCTCATTCCATACACTCACCACCCTCTGCGTGAAAAAGTTGCCCCTTAGGTCCCTTTTAAATCTTTCCCTTCTGACTTTAAACCTATGCCCTCTAGTTCTGGATTCCCCTACCCTGAGGAAAAGACCTTGACTATTCACCCTTTCCATGCCCCTCATGATTTTCTAAACTTCTATAAGATCATCCCTCAGCCTCTGACGCTCCAGGGTAAATAACCCCAGCCTATTCAGCCTCTTCTTATAGCTCAAACCCTCCAACCCTTTCATCTTTCCTATAGCAGGGAGACTGGAATTGAACGCAATAGTGGACTAGTAATCCCCAGATGCAGGTTAACATCTGGGGAGAAAGGTTTGAATCCCACCATGACATATGATGAAATCTTAACTCAGTAAAATCTGGAATTCAGTGCTAGCCTAATTGTGTCTATGTAACTGTTATAGATTTGTCCTAAAAACCCGGCTGGTTTTGGGAAGAAAATCGGCCATCCTTAAAGCCATGTGGTTGACTCTGTGCTGGCCTCTGGAATGGCCTAATAAGGTTTAGGGTGAGTTGGGGATGGACAACAAACACCGGCCAACGAAGCCCACATCCCATGAAAGAGAAACAAAATTTTGGAACAGCATGGTATGTCAGTTTGAGATCCTTCACCTGAAGAATCGTGTTAAGGAGTTAGGCACACAATGTAGATACTTCTCCCTTCTTCCAACTGCTTTACCTTTACTGTCTATTCCCTGCACTTTTTTCTTTTTGTTTCAGTTACCTGAATATTCTTTGTAAAAGAAAACAAATTATAATACTGCGTCACATCACGCCCCTCTTCTGAAAATATCTAGCACATGGATCAATATGTGATAGACCAATGCATAGGCCTTGGTTCAAACAATCCAGGACAAATAGCAACAATACACAATTGGAAAACAATTCAAATTAATTTTATGAATCAAATCAGATCTGCTGAAGCAAGGGATGAGTGAAGCTTAAACTTCTGCGCACCCCGAACATGGTGGGACTGCATTTTGTGGAACTAAACATTCCCAGCTATCAATTGTTCCAACTATCAATTGGATTCCATGAATGAGGATGGGTAGTTTCGCCTTAGTAACAGCTTCTCTCCTATTCCTCTCTCCTCCTCTCCAGGTCTTCCTTGCTGAGCTAAAGGGCAAGAGTCAGTTCTTTGCTATTAAAGCATTGAAGAAGGATGTGGTGCTGATGGACGATGATGTGGAGTGCACTATGGTTGAGAAACGAGTTCTCTCCCTTGCCTGGGAACATCCATTTCTTACTCATCTCTACTGTACATTCCAAACTAAGGTAAGATTTTTAGATTTCAATCCTTTTGTCTTTATTAATTTTTGCAAATAATCTGCAATTAATGTACCATATTTCACCATGTTTGGTTAGTGTGAAATGAACAGCAGCTATGCATGATATAACATACTGGTTCAGTCATGTACTGTTTTGGAGTTCACCTGCTTTGATTGTGCCATGTTACAGATTCCCAACAATGGCACTTTTTTTTTGCCTAATGGAGGGGACAGCTAACAAAGCTTCATCGTTCCCCGGCACACTTCCTTAGGCATTAGGATAAGTTTTGGTTTCAGCTGCCTTTGTAGATTGCACTGACACTATCAGTACAATATGTTTAGTCATTTTTGTGATTTCACTACCACAAAGTCTGCACATCTGGGCTCTTTCTTGCAATACAGAGACTGCTCTGTCAGGCTGGACTATCCCAACTCTGACCCTGCTGTGTCTCTGTCTCTGCCTTATTGTCTGACTCTCAGAAGTTCCAAAAAGCCCTTATTATTAACACACTAATGTACAGAATACGAACTTTTACATTATGACCTCCTCATATGGTTCCTCCATCCCTCTCTTCCCAGAGTCTACATGGCACGTGACTATTTATTTCAGAGCTACAGGAGATGGTGTTATAGTGGTAATGTCACAGTGTTAGTAATCCAGAAGTTCAGGCTTAATGCCCAGGGGACAAGGGTTCAATCCCACCATGGTGGCCTGTGGAATTTAAATTCAACTAATAAAATCATGAATTCAATGCTAATATCAGTAATTAGCTTACTGGAGTGGAGGCTATTGGTCATCATAAAAGCACATCTAGTTCACTAATGTCCTTCAAAGGCTAGAGTTCTGCTGGCCTCCATGTGACTCCAGACCTACAACAATGTGGTTGTCCCTAAGCTATCCTCTGAAATAGCTCAGCAAGCACTCAGCTCAAGGGCAATCAATGGGCAGTAAGTACTGGCCTTGCCAGCAATGCCTGCATCCTATGAAAGAAAGAAGATCATATCAATAACCAATGCACTTCCAATTTATTGTCTAGTTGAAATTGTTGATAAAGTTGCTGATTCAGAAGCAATAAAAATAAGTCAATGAGAAAAGTTATTGATTATACTTGTGCTGTGCTAATAAATCAAGTGATTAAAGTTACAGGTAGCCCTGGTGAGAATGATGAAGTTTTAGCATCATTACCTGTGTAGTGCATTCCTTCTAGTGTTTTATTTCCAACCCATTATAACATCCTTCTCTGCAAGAATAGATGACTGTGTTCAATTGGATGTGTTCATACCTCCTGTGTATTTGGGAGTTCAAACAATGTCGGCCAAGTCACATACTGATTTCCTCTAACCAGTTGCACATTAGATAGTTTATAAACTGTGAACATGAAATGGTCTTTAAGTTACAAGTTAGCCTCATGCTGATTCGGATAGAATGTTTTCCTGTGCAATTAATTAAAAGGAAAAGTGTGTCATGAAGAAACAAAGTCAACGAACTTTTCTGAAAACATTGTAAAGAGCTCCTACGGACATCTCTCCACAACTGGTCTTTCACAATCCCAGTGTATCAGAAAGAATGGTCTCGAGTTTGTTTCCTCTACCCATGAAGTATGATATATCTCAATGGGCTTTATCTCAAGCATTTAATCTTGAAGCCAAGTAGTCCTATCTTATCTAAATATGTATTAAGAAGAATCCCAAATGCAGCAAATTTCTCTTTTCTCTAAGGGGAATGTCATTGATTTATTTTGTTCAAAAGTATTTTGTATGCAATGCCATTGTTTGGGGTTACTGTGGACTCTGATAGTGTCATTCAAAGGTCCATGTTCTGTGTCCATGAGTTAGCATTATACAATATCAGATATGTTGTTGTGTAAATGCAAGTTTTTAACCAGACAATATAAAGACTGACCTAATACATACCTGTAGCTTATCAAACATCAGGCAATATTCTTATCCCTTATACACATCAAAACCTGGATAGAGTAGACATGCAGAAGAAGTCTCTCCTACTGGTGAAAACAAGGACCCAAGGGCACAGCCTCAGATTGAAGGGATGACACTTTGTAACTGAGATGAGGAGGAATTTCTTCAGCCAGAGGGTGGTGAATCTGTGGAACTCATTGCCACAGAGGGCTGTGGGGGCTAAATCATTGACTGTATTTAAGACGTAGGTAGATAGGTTCTTCATTGATGAGGGTCAAGAGTTACAAGAAAAAGGCAGAGATTGGGGTTGAGAAATATATCAGTCAAGATCGAATGGTGGAGCAGATGTGATGGGCCAAATGGCCTAATTCTGCTCCTATGTATATCGTCTCATGATCTTACAACTTATTCTGTGTGAGCAAGTGAGTTGGGAGTGAAATTGGATGTTTACAGGGTTCAAAGCAAGTCATTTTCTTCAATCTTTCATGGGATGTCCGTGTCTCTTGCAGGGCCAGCATTTGTTGCCCATCCCTAATTGCCCTTGAACTGAATCATTTGTTCAGCCATTCCAAACGGCAGTTAACAGTCCATCACATTGTACAGGCCTGGAGTCACATATTGGCCAGACAGGGCAAGGCCAGCAAATATCCCTCACGAAAGCACATTACTGAGCTGGATGGATTTTTGTATCAATCATTGATGACTATCATGACCACCACTTCTGAGATTAGTTTTAGATTCCAGATTATTTTAGTCTCTGAATTTCAATTCCATCTGTTGTCATGTCCCCAGGAAACAGCAACTAGCCACAGCCCAAAACTCAGTTTTGATTGCTTTTGGAGAGCTGAATGTTGGGTTATGCTATCATGGGGAGCAAAACTCATTTCGCCTGTTTTGAGTCTTTGCCCAAACCCAATTTCAGCCCCATTGAGTCTAATGTAGCGCAATGTTGTGACCTTCAGTTAACCGTGGTGAATGTGTAATGTGGGAATTCTCAGTAGAGATAGGAGGGTCCCTTTTTGCCCTGCCCCTGGCAGCTATCAGGCTGGGATATCAACTTTCCCTGTCAGTCACACTACACATCCAAGAAAACAGAAGAAGGTGAAATATCTTAAAGGTTGGGAGCACCTGAATGCCAAAGAGTAATTTAAATTGTGTGTTACAGTTAGTATACAAACATTTGAGTTTGGATAACGGCTTTTCTCATTCTTTGATATTTTTCACATCCATTATTTTAAAACTGTGCCCTTTTGTTCTCCATCCTTTCAAGAGTGTTCTCCTTACCTATTCTGTCTGGATCCTTCATGATTTTGAATACTTCAATCATATCACCTCTCAAACTTCTCGCTTCCAAGGAGAACAGTCTATGATCAATTGACAGAAGGTAGCAGACTAAGCTCTGTGCATTTTGTTTCAAGTTGAGTATCCATACTACCTGGCAATTAAGTCAAAGAAAAATAAATCTCTAACTCTTTCAAATCTTGGACAGCCCCCACTTTGTTCCTCAGGTCACCATTGACAGCTGCCAAACTGCTTATCTGTCTCTGATTTCTCCGCTCAAGTAGAAGTATCCAAAATAAGTCAAGGGACAGAGTGATCCTCTGGTCATTATGCTCATGGCCTGAGAGATCGTTTAGTTCTATATGATTTAACACAGAAGCCATAACAATGGCTTTTGTTATTCTGAAGTTCCAGAATGTCTAAATAGTTATGGATAGAAATTAAAACAGTTCACATGGACAAGTCAGATTCCTGAATAATTCCCACCCTCATATACAAATTAATCAGCATTCAATAAAATAGTACACAGCAGCAAATTCGTAATGACAAACCTCCACTTGTAGAGACGTGGCGTCATATAGTCATATAGTCATAGAGTCATACAGCATGGAAACAGACCCTTCAGTCCAACTCGGCTATGCCAACCATGTTCCCAAATTAAACTAGTCCCACCTGCCTGTGTTTGGCCTATATCCCTCTAAACCTTTCTTATTCATGAATTTATCCAAATGTCTTTTAAACGTTAGAAGTGTGCCCGCATCCACCACTAGCTCTGGCAGCTCATTCCACACACGAGCCACTCGCTGTGTAAAATAGTTGCCCCTCTTGTCCTTTTTAAATCTTTCTCCACTTACCACAAAAATGCCCCCCAGTTTTGAACTCCCCCACCCTAGAGAAAAGACCTTATTCACCTTGTTTATGCTTCTCATGATGTTCATAAACCTCTATAAGGTCACTGCTCAACCTCCTGCGCTCCAGCGAAAACAGTCCCAACCCATAGAGCCATTTTGCAACAAAATAAAGCTAATTACTCGTATAAACATTCTTAACAAGCTGAATAACACAAAACCTTTAGTTAATCAAAGTGCAGTGGTGAACAGACAAGGTTACTTTTCCTCTCTTCCTGCTGCGATTCATACAAAATACCTTTGTGAGCTATTTCTAAGTAATCAGTTCAGAAATGTTATGGCACACACATCTGGAGTAGGTGGGACTTGAACACAGGTCTCCTAGCTCAGAGGTAGGAATGCTACCCTCTGTACCACAAGAGGCCTTGAAGGTTGCTACGCAACTTTCCAGTCTATTTTCGAATCAACCTGTTCAGAATTACTATACACACCCCTGAAGCAGTGAGACCTGACATTGGCCTCCTGGGTCAGAGGTAGGAACACTACCATTGCACCACAAGAGCCCCAAGGCGCTATTTTCGTACAGTGTTCATTCACTTTTAAAACTGCTTTAGCAAAAATTACTTCCTGATAGCTTTGATAACCTTTGTGAATAAATCTCTCTATCTTTGGAGACCAGGTGACTTACAGCTATACTCAAATCAAGTAAAAAGATTTTATTTTGCTGCCTGGTAACACCATGTGTTATTGATTAGTTTTATATATATTGCACCTTATTGTTGAGAGAAACAAAGCTTTATATCAGTATAGCAGCCTGGACAAAACATTTCCATGCATGGAGCAGTGTAACATTTTGCACCAACTCAGTTAGCATAAGGAATGGTTACATTGAGAATAAAGAATACGATTCAAGACTATGCAGAGAACATCAGATATCGGGGAATGATTGTATTCGGAATGGTAAGTACCTAAGTAGTGACTACTTACAGATTAGTGGAGGGATTGAATTGAAAATAATAGGTAATTGAGATGGATTTATATAGTTATTAGAGGTCTACAGCAGAGAAAGAGGCCCTTCCGCCCATCACATCCATGCTGGTGGAAAACCGCCACCAAACTATTCTAATCCCATTTTCCAGCACTTGGTCCATAGCCTTGTATGCCTTGGTGTTACAAGAGCACATCTAAATATTTATCAAATGTTATACAGACAGTGAGTTCCAGAATAACAGGCAACTTCTAGCTTTGGTGTATCTGAATTTGTAAAAGGTATTCAATAAAGTGTCGCACAAAACATTACTGCACAGAATAAGAGCTGATATTATTAGGGGTAACAATATTAATGTGGACAGGAGATTTGTTAGCTAACAGAAACAGAAAATAGAGAAAAATCTGAACTATCCACATTGGCAGGAATAAGGAAAAAGGAGTTAGTAAGAACTGCAGATGCGGGGGTCAGAGATAACACAGTGTGGAGCTGGAGGAACACAGCAGGCCAGGCAGCATCAGAGGAGCAGGAAAGTTGACGTTCTGTGCCCGGACCCTTCTTCAGAAATGGAGAGGGGGAAGGGAACTCCGAAATAAATAGAGAGTGGAGCGGTGGGGCTGGGGAAGGTAGGTCAGATGGTGATAGGTGAGTGCAGGTAGGGAGTGGTGGGGATTGGTCAGTGAGGTGGGAGGAGCAGATAGGTGGGAGAAGATGGACAGGTTGTGTCAAGTCAAGGAGACAGGGATAAGAGGGAGGGTTGGTCATGGGATGAGGCTGGGGTGGGGAGACTTTGAAACTGGTAAAATCTATCTTTAGGCCATTTAGGATTGTAGGTGGTGGAAGTGGCGGAGAATGATACGTTGGATGCGGAGGTTGGTGGGGTGACATATGAGGACAAGGGGGATTCTGTCTTTATTTTATTGTGGGGAGGAGATGTGAGGGCAGAGGTGCAGGAAACGCAAGAGATGTGGTTGAGAGCATTTTTGAACCACCGAAGGGGGGATGTTGCAGTCCTTGAAATAAGAGGACGTCTGGGATGTGCGGGAGTTGAACACCCCATCTTGGGAGCAGATGTGGCGGAGGCAGAGGAATTGGGAGTTAGGGATCGCATTCTCGCAGGAAGGTGGGTGAGAAGAGGTGTAGTCTAGGTGGCTGTGGGAGTCGGTGGGCTTGAAATAGATATCGGTTTCAAGGCGGTCGCCAGAGATGGAGACAGAGAGGTCCAGGGGTATCAGAGATGGTCCAGGTGAACTTAAGGTTGGGGTGGAAGGTGTTAGTAAAGTTGGATGAACTGTTCAAGCTCCTGAGAGATAGTAGGAACTGCAGATGCTGGAGAATCTGAGATAACAAGGTGTAGAGCTGGATGAACACAGCAGGCCAAGCAGCATCAGAGGAGCAGGAAGTTCAAGCTCCTCAAGGGAGCAGAAAGCAGTGCCAATACAGTCATCAATGTAGCGGAGGAAGAGGTGGGGGATGGGGCCAGTGTAGCAGCGGAAGAGGGACTGTTCCACTTATCCTACAAAGACGCAGGCATAGCTTGGGCACATGCAAATTTGTTTTGACTGGAGAGACAATTGCTAACTCTGTGATACAGAGGAACCTAGGTGTCTTGGGACATGACTCACAAAAAGCCAGCATGCTGGTTCAGCAAGTAATTGGGAAATCATATGAAATGTTTCCCTTTGTTGCAAAGGGAAGAGGGTGAAAATGAGAGCAGCATTGCTAAAGCTGGATAGTACCCGAGTGAGATTGCATCTCACTTTGGATTGAGTCACACGGATTTGGTTTCCTTCCTTAAGGACAGCCACAATTGCCTTGAAAGCAGCTCAGAGAAGGTTCACTCAATGATTCCTGGGATAAAGACAGTTTCTAAAGAGGAAATGTTGAGCAGGTTAAACCTATACTCATTGGAGGAATGAGAGATGATATCATTGAAACATATAAGACATTCAGGGGACTTGACAGGGTGGGGGCTGCAAGGATATTTCCTCTCATGGGTAAATCTATAACTAGGGACACTGTTTAAAAATGAGGGGTTTCCTAAATGCAATGAAGATGAGGAGGAATTCTCTTTCTCAAATGGTGGTCAGGCTTTATAATGATATTCCATTGAGACTACTGAAGTAAAATAACCCCACAGAGGCCAGTATCCTGTCACTAAATCACCCTTTATTTACATGGGCATAGTACAGAACACTGACCCAGCCAGCACAGAGTGAACAGAACCTCTGACACTCCTCCTTTTATCTGTCAGCCAGAGCTCCCTGATTTGGAACTAAAACAAAGTTGCTGGTAAAGCTCAGCAGGTCTGGCAGCATCTGTGAAGGAAAAAAACAGGGTTAACGTTTCGGGTCCAGTGACCCTTCCTCAGAACCAGGTTTACAGCCCCAATCGAGGAATTCATATTCTATGAGATCTATCTGGCTGACTTTGTTACAATCCTACATGGAGGCTGGGTTTTTTTTTAAAATTCATTCATTCACAGGATATGGTGTTACTGGCTAGGCCAGCATTTATTGCCCGTCCCTAGTTGCTCCTTGAGAAGGTTGTGGTGAGCTGCGTCTTGAACTGCTGCAGCCCCATGTGCTGTAGGGTAGATCTGCGGGGAAATTCTAAGTTTTTTATTAACTTCAAATTGCACCAACTGCCATGGAGGGATTTGCACCCAGGTCCTCAGAATATAGATTAATAGTCTATCAATAACACCTCTCAGCAATCGCCTCCTGTAGGCTGAGTCACCTGGCATTCCCAAAAGCTTCACAGTGCGTACCGCAAAAATTCTGCACATGCTCATTTTGTGATCTGCCCTGTAGTAAGAAACATGGCGACACCCAAATAATCACAATAAATATGAGTGAACAGGATGGGATGATGTCACTGGCAGTATTGGCAGAGGCACCGTGCATGTGAGGTTTGTTCCGAGTACCGAGAGAGCTTTGTGGGTGTCAGCAGAAATTCTCTTCAAGATTGAGTTTGTTTTTTGATTGACAGATGAGTCGAGGGTTATGGGGGCGGGGGGGGGGGTGTGTGGTGGGTGGTGGGGATCGGGTGTTACTCAGGCAAGAAAGTAGAGTTGAGGCTAAAGTCAGATCGGCCATGATTTTATTGAACGGTACTGATTGAGGGACTGAATGGCCTACTCCTGCACCAGTGATGAACTTAAGAAAGGGCTTTGCTGGCATTTTATGTCCATACTCTAACTATCCTCCAGAATGTACGGTAAGTTGCCTTCCTGATAGTGGGATGGCTAGCTAAGGCCATTTCTGAGGGAAATAACATTGCTATGGCCTAAGTGCAGACATTCTAAGGATGGCAATCTTCTTTCTATAAATGGTGGCAGTGAATGGGGATTTTAAGTTTAACTGGTAGTGTCATAGTCACTGATGCTAGCATTTTATTTCAGTTTTAAACTGTCACTTTAAGATTTGAATGCCAGTAATCCAGCCCTGTGCATTACCAGTCTACTAATGTAACCATGATGCCACCATAGTCAATAACTCAGTGACATAGGATGGTGCGTGATTTGGAGGTTCATAATAGAGTCATAGAGTGTTTACAACATGGAAAGAGACCCTTCTGCCCATTGTGTCCGCTCTGGCCATCAAACATCCATCTATTCTAAACTTTGCCCATAGCTTTGTATGTTATGGAGTCTCAAGTTTTCATCTAAGTGTTTCTTAAATGTGTTGAGGGTTCCTGCCTCTACCACCCTTTCACACAGTGAATTCCAGAAATCCATCACCCTCTGGGTGAAAAAAATTATTTCCTCAAATCCTGTTTAAACCTCCTGCTTGTTACCTTAAAACTGTGCCCCCTGGTTATTGATCCCTCTATTAAAGGAAAGATGTTTCTCTTCATCTGGTCTATCTATTTCCCTCATAACATTGTACACCTCAATCAGTCTTCTTCTGCTCTAAGGATAACCCCAGCCTATCGAGTCTGTCTTCAGACCACTCTAGCCCATGCAATATCATTGACGAATCTCCTCTGCACCCACTCCAGCAAATGCACATTCTTTGTTTGGTGTGGCAACCACAGTACACCAGGTGTGGCCTAACTAATTTACGGCTCCATCCTAATCTCAAGCAAACACAGAAATAACTGGAGAAACTCAACAAGTCTGGCAGCGTCTGAGGAGAGAGAAACAGAGTTCATGTTTTCAGTCTGATATGACTCTTCTCCATCCAGGAGTTGCTTTCCTTCTAAGGGACAGAAATCCCCACTCCCTAAAGGGGATGAATGAACTGGAAGGGCTTTACATGCAACAATTCGCAATGACTTTATATACATCATTAAATGCTTAATTCCAGATTTTTTATTGAATTCAAATTCCACCGTCTACCATGATGGGATTTGAACTCCAGCCTCAGAATGTGACCTGAGCCTCTGGATTAACAAAAAACTGAAAGAACTGCGGATGCTGTAAATCAGGAACAAAAACAGAAGTTGCTGGAAAAGCTCAGCCGGTCTGGCAGCATCTGTGAAGAGAAATCAGAGTTCATATTTTGGGTCCGAGGAAGGGTCACCGGACCCAAAACGTTAACTCTGAAAATTTTTTCTTCACAGATGCTGCCAGACCTGCTGAGCTTTTCCAGTGACTTCAGTTTTTGTGCCTCTGGATTAACAGTCCAGCAATTATACCACAGGCCCTTATCACCTTTAGGTGAGGATTTATACTCCCACCTGAACTGATTCTGGTTAATAAACAGTCAATTCAGCAAAGCAGATCTGACCAACTCTTATTGTTATAATAGGATTCAATATTAAGCTTGTTCTTCCGGTACAATTTGTGATAGCTTCATATCTTGTCTCCTCATTATGTTTGTCTGTCGAATTATATGCTGATTTTCTCTATTTCTGCTTGGTACAGGAGAATCTGTTTTTTGTAATGGAATACCTGAATGGCGGTGACCTAATGTTTCACATTCAGAATTGCCAAAAGTTTGATGCACCAAGGGCAACGTGAGTCGACTCTTTTTTATACTGAAGCTTTGTTTAATTGTCTAGGTAACAACTTGGCAGCATTTAGTGATCCTCGAATATCCAACATAACTGTAACATTACAATGGAAAAGAAACACCAAATATGGTCTGTACCTTAGCATGCATCTTCAAAACTTTCTAAAGTTGAAAGTGCTTCCGTCCTGTTTCCATCCAACAAAGACATTTCTTATTTGATGCCCATAAATGAAGTGATAAGAACTGGGTAAAATTCTTTTGCTGAAAATTTCTTTGTGTTGCCGTGAATAGATCAAAAGAGTTGTAAATATGATTTAATGCTTTTTGGACCTTTTCAGCCTTTTGTAAGAAGCATCGAAGAGTTTTCCTCAGCTGCTGTTCATTTTGTACTCCAGGCACTGGATTCGACCTGTTGAATTTCAAATCTTTTTTTTCCATCATGAACAATAATAAGAAAATCAACCCATCACTGCCTCTTGGAAACATGTAAAATATTTCTGTTTATAAATTGTCCTTAAGAAAAAATAGTCATTTGGAGCTGTGAGGATGTTTAGGGAGACTCGAGTTAGTTGGAGTAAACATTGCTTTCTCACCTCCATTGATTTGGATTCAAAAGTTCATTTAGTCCTATGTAGGAGCTCATTGCACAATGCTATGTGATCAAGACTGAAATATATGATGCATTTAGACAATTTCAATCAGTACAGAATAATAATAATCTTGCTTTTAAAGACAGTCTCCAATAGAAAGTGTGTAGGATGTCTGGAACAATGTTTTACTGATCCAGATAGAGATGCTGTCCTATCATTAATGTTTGGGAGACTTTGCTGGGACAAAATATTCTGCAGAAGGATCACTGGACCTGAAATATTGACTGCTTTCTCTCCACAGACCAGCTGAATTCCCTCCAACAATTTCTGTTTTTGTTAGAGAGAGCTATGTCAAATCTGATTACACCTAACCCGTACAGATTTG